AGGAACAGCAAGAGAGAACAGAAAAAGCTAACAGCCTTCTGGGCTCTGTTATCCTAGGAGCCCTATGCCAAGGGACTGTGCAGGATGGGCCCAGAGTACTTCAGCAGAGCAAGAGCTTGGCTGTGGAGTTTACAAGACTTTAGGCCGAGACTGCAAAGCTGCAACACCACCAGCCATGCCCGCTGCATGCCTGGGGTCAGTACCGCTTCCCAGCCACAGAGGCATTGCTCGCAGGGCACCTGCTCAGCACACAGCACTGCTGGGGCAGGCAGGGTAAGGAGGTGACAGCAGTGACCACAAGGGTTTGGGGGAGGCAGTGGCACAGCAGGAGGGAGGAGGCAGCTGTCAGGAGGACAGGATAAGGCAGCAGCAAGGCTCAAACACAAAGATGCAGAGCCACATCAAGAGCCTGCCTGAGGGGAACTGAGGGATCCCCAGGGAGACGGGATTGCAGCACACGAGGAAAGCTGGGCAGGCTGCCGGCATTTGGTAGTAATCACTGAAGAGGATGAAGAACAGAAATGGCAAAAAGCCAGCTGGGAGGTGGATCCAGCTGGACAGTGAGAAGTGATGTGAGCCTCAGGAAAGCAGAAGGAGACTGTGCTGACAGCCACGCCAGCAAACTGCACTCCTTGTCCCCACCACGAGCCAGGCCTTGTGCTTCTGCACCCCAGATGGGGCTGCACAGAGCTCAGCCAGCCCCCGTAATCCAGCCTACGCTGCAGAGAGAGGAGGAGCACCCCCCAGCTTGCTCAGGAAGTATCCTTGGGTCACAAGGAGGGAGAGCAGCTACCAGCTGCTGAATCAGCCAGCAGGTGCAGGAGGCTCCAAGAGCGGGTGCTGGAAACACCTCTGCCTTTCCTGAGGAACTCGCATACCACTGAATCCACCTCAAACAGCCAGCGCTCATCCTCTGAATCACAACATGTCCCTGCTGCGCCTACCTGGACGAGGTTCATGCAGACAAACCAGAGGAAGTTGCGATGCTGGGAGAGCTGCTGGAGATACTCTGCCAGGGTGATCCTCTTCTCCTGGGGGACGGACAGTTTCTCAATGTACAGCCTAAAGGGAGAGGAGGGGGAAAAAAAAAACAAACCAAAAAAAAAACCAACCATGAATCCCTCACACCAAGCAGTGGAGAGCCCCCAGCTCCCTCTGTGTAGATGCAGAGCTCACTCTCCTCAGCTCCTATCCCAACCTTCCCTCTCCCTGGACCAAATCAAAGCAGTAGAGTCTGTAACATTTGCTTATCGCTAGCAAGAACCACAGGCAATGGGTCTCCCAAAGAACATTTGTCTTCTGAACCCCAAATTCAGATTTCTGTCTGTAAAAGCATTCTCCTCTTATTAGCCATTCCACTACACATACATTCCTCTTCCAGATCCCTGCGGTTAGCTCACCTGGCAGATCTCATCAGGATCTGCTGTGTTAGTACAGCATAATGCTGGCAGCTCATAACAAAAGACAACAAGTGAGGCAACCTAAGGAAAAGCAAGGGAGCCGAACGAGGAAGACCAGCCGCATTGTGGCCCACCAACAGCCCAGCCACTACCAGGTAGCTAAAGCGAGCAAAAGGGAAAAAAAATAATGCTTTCATGATAAGCTGCCTCTGACATTTTGCCACTCACAGGCCTCAGTGGGTGCTCTAGATATTAACTCATTTCATGTTCCAAGCACTGGATGGCCAAACAGCGGGTCAGGGCTCTGCCTCCAGTTTGGGCCAGGAGTGTCACGAGACAGTTTTGTCCTATTTTCAGAGGGCATTAGGAGCCAGTGTAACAGAGGTGATTCTGAAAACTGTATCAACAAACAAGAACCGTAGATGATTAACAAAAATTTGCCTTGTCCTGGATCTTCCCACACATTTAGTTTGCTGCAGTGCATAAAAGGACTCTCCAGATCTATGCCAGGCCTTTGTCCCTGCCACGGAATTGGTGTCACTTACTCTTTTAGGGTGGATTCTTGGTCCCATTTTGCTTTCCCATCAGCCTCAAAACGCTGGCGGAGCAGCTGTGTGGACAGGGTAAAACCAACAATGGAGCAGAGGGCCAGCACGACGCAAAATATGCGAAAGTAAAAGAAGTTCTCTTTGTTCCACACTGCGTAGGACATGAAGACGGAGAGGGAGCCTATGGCACTGAAGAGGGAGCAGTAGAAGTTGAGGCTAGTCCTGTCTTTTGCTGAAACAGCCAGGTCTGCAAGCAAGGCGTTGTGATGGAGGTCGACCATCGTGAGAAAGCTGTCATACATGCAAAGGCAAAGAAGGAACTGCAAACCAGGATGAGCCCAGGCAACCCAGAACGCCAGGAAAGAGATGGCAAAGAGGGGGCCATTGTGGCTTAGTGCTCTGAGTCTCTTCAGAACTACTTCTGGGGAGGAAATCTCTGCTCCTGGCCTGCAAGAGAAGACAAAAGCTTTAGACACCTGGACAAAACCCTGCATGACCATGTATTCTCCCTCTCCAAGGAAGTCACGTAAGCAGCCTAAATACAAATACAGCTTTTGCTCATGCAACAAAAGCTGAAAAGGTATCCAGTACGGGTGCTAATATATGAACACACTGAAAATATAGGTTGAAGAAGGCCAAAAAGCATGGAGGAAAGGGACTTTTTTTTTTCTCCAAAGCAAGTTTCTCCCCAATAGCGCTACACTGCGTGTGCTTTGCACAATATAAATGATTTCACTGAGCACTTAAAGTTTTTATTAGTTGTAGGAAGCCATACCATGATTTTCATTAAAAGCTTGACATTAAATACATGAGAAATGCTAATGGCCAACAGTGATCCATGATCCAGGAAGTTTGGGAGCAACTGATCTCAGGCATTCCAGGCGGAAATAATTGTCCTTTCCCCCCTTGTGTCTCTCAAACGATATACAGACACTCTCTGATGCCCCACTGAGAGGCTTGCTCATATAGCAGGGGCTTGAGATTTTAGATGGTCATATTTTAGGTTCTGTACCACTCATGTGACTGTTAAGGGTTAGGGTCACACCTACCTGATAAGTGTGTGACTTCCTCTATACAACCAGGTACTGAAATAACATGCAAAGAGCACTGAACTTCAAAGAAGCCAAGAAAAGGAGGTATTTAAGAGCTCCATGCCCCAGAAACCATTCCCACGCCATCATTTTAAAGCTGCCAATTTCACATCATGCCCCAGGGACTAAACAATTCCCCAGCGTCTGCTGGAAGCGGAACTTAACTTACTGCTGTGTGCTAAGGAACACCCGGTCGCTCAGCCAGCCAAACAGAGGGTCATTGAGGCTGTTCCAGATCAGAAACACTGTCTATGAAAGAAAAGAGCACAGTGAAACAAACCACAGGACAGGTCCCACACAGACTCAGTTCTGTCACTAAAGCATGCAGTGCTGAGCTGGCCCGGTGAACAACCAGCAGGAACCGTCCCAGCACACCTTCTCTGCCCCAGCACCACCGTACAAGTCCTCTGTCTGGGGCAACTGCCAGATTAACGCAGTGAGGCCGCTGGTCTTCCCTGCTTGTGAAACACCCCGACGTCCCCAGAGGAAAAGTAGCCTTAAGAACAAAGTCTCTGGGTTTTCTGTCCCAGCTTGTTCTCTGATTATGTAAGTGGGGAAAACTGAAAAGCCCAAGCTAGCACTCGGAAGGCTCCCTTGCTCCCTCGCCAAAGGGGAGCACTGCTGTTACAGCTAATGCTCCTCACACTTCCAGCAAGGAGCGGTCTTGATTTCAGAATTTTTTACTCAAAAGGGCAGAAGTCTATGGAAAAGACTGACCTCTCCTATCCAAAAGGACAGTTTATCAATCTTGTAAACAGAGACAAAGGTGTCCACGTAGTACAGGAGGAATACGTTGTGCAAAATGGAAACAAACAGCGACAGGGACCCGTAGATCACTGCAGTGGGCAACTGAAAGAGACAAGCCAACAGTCGCAACCCCATGTTGGTGTAGTCAGCCTTCAGCTCCCTCGATCACCTCCATTTCAGATGGGATGTCTTCTCCCAACACCTGCTACATATTTGCTGGGGCCAATCCATTGTTGCTCCTGTGAGAGAAAGAGAGAGAAAAAAGAAAAAATAGATTCAATTTCTTAAACGAACTAACAGTTGAATCAAATTAATTGGTAAATCTTTGCCAGCAGAGATCAGAATTCATATTGCTTTGAGGAGCTGTTCAAAAGTGGATTGGAGGGGATTTAAGAGACTAAAAGCTGTCTGCTGCACTAAAGCTGTTTCATTAAGCTCAGGCCAGGCTGCGGGCTCTCGGGGGTACAACTGTCTCCTCGTGAGCAGGCTGCCCCGTCCTTTACCCTGTAATGTTGTTATCCAGCAAGTAGCCGATTAGCTTTTTCCAGCTCTTTAAAGGCAAGGTCGCAGGAGGAATCAAGCTAGAGAGCTGCAAACAGTAAAGCAGCCTTCAGAAAACACACCTAGTCACTGACATTTTTAGGTACTGGTGTAAATTTTTAGCCAAATAAAAGCGACAACAGCTGCGATGTAATCTCACACGTGCACACTGCTTTCCCCCGGTAGTCACAGCTGACTGCACCTGGGCTGGCTTAGAGAGAAGTTATTTACAGCAGGCAGCGCTGCTGCTTTGTGGCATGAAAAGACACGACCAGAACATGACAGCATGCAGCAGACACGCTGACATCATGAGATAGAGGCAACCAAGAGCCACTTAGCAGCTGTCCAGCTTGTCTTGGGGTGGCCTGAATTTCAGGATCAGTGCCTGAAATAAAGATGCTTTAGGCAGACAGCAATATATAAAGAAATAAAACAAGTGGCAACAGCAGCCTTATAACCAGAACAAGTCTCTGTACGTTCACAAGGGGCTCCAGACAGCAATATATACAGAAATAAAACAAGTGGCAACAGCAGCCTTATACCAGAACAAGTCTCTGTACGTTCACAAGGGGCTGAGGTGTGGAGGGGTGGACTCCTCACACCAGCACGGACTTGAGGTGGGACCGTCGCACTCCCGCAACGTATCCTCGTGCTTTTCAGACTAAGTCCCCTCTCACACTCAAGTTGCTACAGACCAAAGGCAAAACACAAGGCACCTCTTAAGAGGCATTCGTGTATCTGGTGAGACATTAAGGGTTCTTAAATCAGTGTAAGTCAGCTTCTCCAGCCCGTGCCACCCTAAGAAGCTCTGTCCACAGCATCTGCATGACAGCGACCCTGTCATCACCTATCTTAATGCTGTCACAAGCAAGATAAAGGGCAGGCAGTCACTCCCATTTCAGCCCTCCAGGGTCCGCACTCGCCCAACTCAGAGGCATCAGTGGGGGGAACTTCACAGCCCAGAGTAAGGATGAGCACATCAGCAACGGGAAGCACCGAGCCAGCCTCCTTGGGCTTGCGACATCAGCTGCAGCAAGTCCAAGAAGATCAAAGGGAAGAATAAACAGCTGGGTATGAAACCTGATGAAACTCCAGTCCCATTCAGCATTTCCCAGAAGCCACGAGTCTGACCACTTCTAGACAAGATTAGAAAAGCAAAAATAACCTCTGCTCTGCCCAGCCCATTCCTCATAACTAGCTCAGAAGGAGCAGTTACAGCATTTGTTCCAATCAATTACATCACTAGATTGAAACTGCACGTCAGCTCTACTCCCAGCCAAAGCGCTAGACCCCAACTGGATCCAACTGCAGAGCCCTCATGGAGTGGAGCCACCATTCTGCACCCCCGCACACCAAAGCCCACAGCCAGATAAAAGGCAGGCACTGCTTGGAGGGGAATTCAGCCAGACAATGAACTTTTATAGGTGTAATTAAAGACAGACAATGGGAAGTTGCATTTTGTGCAGTCATGCATTGAAAATCAATCAAGAATTTGTGGTATGTAAAGATAAAGGTTAAGAAGAAGGGAGAGCTAAGCCAACTGACCCACGGATGAGTCCTGCGTCTCTCATCAAGAACCTTCTGCAGATGTCTAGCTTGGGGGCAGAGAAAGCCACCACAGTGCTGGGCACCCTCATGAATAGGATGGAGAACAAGTGGACATCGTCCTTTTGAACCCTATGAAACCTCAGTGAATCCAGACCTTGACCACTGCGTGCACATCTAACCTCACTACAAAATTCTAGAGACATAGAGATGAGGGAGATCAAAGAAGGGCAATGGAAGCGATCAAGGCACCAAGGCAGCTGCATGCTGAGGAAAGACTTAACAGCCAGGACTCCAAGCAGAGAGCAAAGGGTGAAAGGGAACACGATCAAGGTTTAAAGAGTCACACACACAGTGGATAAGGTGAAGGTGGAACTGTTGTGTGCCAGGACACAAGAACTGGGAGCACTTAACTGTAACTAGCAGGAGATCAGTTTAAAGCACATGAAAATACTTCTTTACCTGGCAGGTAGCAAACATTTGACATTTGCTGCCAAAGGAGGGTGCAGAGATGGGTGGCAGGTTCAAAGGATTAGAAAAGTTAACGGAAAACAGCTGTACAGAAAACAGTTACTAAAAGGAACAGGCAGGGAAATCCCCTCTAGCCTCCCTAATCCGAGGGCTCCGTGTGCTGGGGGTGGACCAGTGGAAAGGCCCACAGACAGCAGCCAGGCTCACACACTCTTCCACTAAACAGCACCTCCTGCTGCCGCTGTGGGGCAGAATATGGGGTGAGACAGACCCACGGTCTGACCTGCTAGCGCTATTCTTAACCTCGACTTGACTTCGCTCCCCAACGCCTGTTTGAAAGCAAAGCCCGCTCTAGGCTTGGTCCTCAGCACTGCACTTTACACGTGTACCCATCCAAATGATGCTTCACTAAGTTCATGTTGCCCAAACCACAGCTGCTGAGTTTCCAGAGATGCCTCATTTTGTCATTTATATGCTACAGCACTGTTTAAACGAAGGTGAAGCTCCACTTCCTCTCCTTCTCCCTCACACATGCGCAACCCCTCCAGCCAGCTGACATTTATAAGCAATTTCACTTTGGTGGGATAGTTGTTGGGTCATTTTTTATTTTTTGTTTTCCCTCCCCATCTGCAAATGTGCAGATGAAAAGAAACAAATCATAGTTGTCTGTAAAAAGTAGATTTTGCTTCTACATCCAAAGCGCTGTGTTATTTAAGCTTGCCACACTGGTATTTTCATAACCTTTTCCTTGGAATGAGAGTTACTGAGTATTGTCAGAACTTTTCAACATTAGGCTTTAAGTAGTAATGGGAAGAGAAGCTGCAGGAGGGAATAGCTATCATTCATTCACGCTGAACTTCCAACGCGCAGTCATAAAGCAACAAGCTCGTAAATTAGAAAGCAACTAGCCTTTATTTCAGAAACTTCCACCTTCGCATCTGACATCTGGCATCACTCCTGCCAGTGACGTTTGCAGATCTTATCTTCTTAAGAAGGATGTTTGAATACCGGCTACCAGGAAAGCATCGGTTTTGTTTGAGAGCGCTGGCGTACGGCGGCTGGGAACACACCCCAGTGTGGGGCTCGCACATCTGCTCTACCTTCCTAGCCAGCTCACAGCTGGAGTCGCAAGTCCTTGTGTCCCATGGCGATTCAGCAACACTTTGGCCTTACAGCAAGGCTGAGCACCAGCCTGTCACAGCTGAACTCGGTTGTACGGAGTCAGCAGCAGAGCCACATACATGAATCTTGGCCTAACCCAGTCTTTTAAGCAGGGCCAGATGATTTCTGTATGTGCTGGAGCTGCCACTCAGGAACCTGAAATAGCCATCTGCAGACCTGACTGCAGTACCAGGACGACTCTCCTCTTTGTTCTCCACTACGTAGGTAATGCAGGCTGGAATATCCCACATACTTCAGGATATGTCTGTGCTTGCTCCAGCCATCACTACGCTGCCTCTGCTGCATATTCTGGATATTCTAGCTAAAGCAGAGGGCCAGAAAAATGTACCAGCTCGGTGTCTCTGCATCCGCTACACAATAAATCCATCAACTGGAAGCCACCCAAGAGGGAACCCTATTTCTAGACATTCCTCATAGCCAGACAGGACTGGGCTGCTCCATCCCCAGGGAAGCCAGGCCCCAGAGCCTCCAAAGCACAGACACCTCTATGGGTTCTCACCCCAAGAAGCTACTTAGATTCTGGCAGGACTCTGTTCAGTAAGAAGGGAAATCCCTCCAGGGAGCTCTATCACTGAACAAAAGTGAAAGAGTCTCCTCTAAACCAAAAAACCCTCTCAAAATCCTATTCCTGTCCCAGGAATTTAGACACACCACAAAATTCTGGCTCCTCTGACCAAACTTTGATCCCATGCACCTCTTAGAGGCAGATGTATCTCCAAGACTCTCAATTTCTCCACCGTACTACTTCTGAAATCCTAATGGCACATTTCCTCAGATAATCCACTTGCTAACAGAGTCTTGAGGGAATGCCACACACAGTCCCACATGAAACATTAACAAACTCCCCAACAGCAGACTCCCAGCAGCCGGGTATTTGAACAGTAAAGCAATGAAGCCTTTGAAAACCTGATACCACCCAAGTGAGGCAAGGAAATGCGCTGCTTCGAAGAGGCTATGAGGGAATTTCCCAGTACTATTTACCAATTCAACAATCACAGATGCCTCCGTATCATGAGAGGTTTGGTACCACCCTTCTTATTACAGGCAATCATATGCTTCCGTCAGGTGCTTCCTTTACTCCTACAGCATTCATACACGTAAACAGAACTGCCACGCAGATGACAATTAGCTCTTGAACCAGCTGGTAGTTTCTGTGGAGCTGTGTTCCAGCAGAGCAATCTTGTTAAATCAGATGTCATTCCCTAACGTGATCACAAGGTTCATTAATAGACGTAATCGAGTAGATCTCATAGTATTGGAATCTGGAAAGATATTTAACTTAACAGCACACAGCACCCCTTTTCTAAACAATGAATTGTTTTACAGTGTAAGGAAAATTTATTAGATAAAGAACTGGTTTCCCATGATGCTACGTAAGTGCTAATCCTGTAGTGGACTTCCACAGCACTGGTACGGGGATCACTCCCAGGTAACTCTGGCCTCAAATTAGGTCTTTGGACTGAAAACAACTCCTAAGAGTGGAATCACAGAAGCTAAAAGAAGGGATTACGACACAGATAGACCCTGTTCTTGTTAAGACTCAATAGGAAGCACAAGGCGAGAAGTTCTTTTTTATCACTCTGCCCAAGCAGCGGCAACGGGGAGTTTCTGCTACGCATCTCCATCTTCCCGCCAGGAAGACTTTTCACCTATGCCAACCTTCCAAAGCCGCGGTCACCCCCCTAGCTCCCCGGCTTCGGCCGCCAGTCACATGCCGCTAACCAAAGGACTGAAGGAAGCCCAGCTGCTGAGGCCACGGGAGAGCCCTGTGGCGTTTGGGCCCGAAAAACACAGCACTCGGTCACCAAGCACCCGCAGCCGACGTCCCCGCGTGCGGGACAGGAACGCGGGGAGCCAGGCGACGCCTGCCAAGTGAGGGCAGAGGGACGGACGCCATTTCTTTGGCCACCCAGATGAGCCCAAGCAGCAGTGCCACCACCAGCACCCCATCCGCAAGGTCCCCCTGCGCTGACGGGGGTGCCTAGCAGCCCCGGGAGGGGACGCGGTGGCCGGGCAGGGGCATGGCCATCGTTTTGCGTGGGCTCTCCCTCAGGCTCCGTGGCGGCGGGGGGCCCGTTCGGGGTCGGGAGGCGCCGTC